TAGGCGACTTACTTGGCGGAGACACATAGAGACTAAAAGGACTTATCTCACTTATCTTAAGCTAAAGGAATGTACCTGGCACTGGTTTATTAACTCTCGCTCATCACTGAATCTGGAGAATTTTTATACAAACAACACAGTTTTAAAACCAATTTGGACCCATGGATGTGGGCTGTGTGGACAACGCGAGTAGCAGCAACATCGAAATTTTTCGCCGTGCACAATAAAAAATTCCTCGTATAATCACCGGAGCACTGTGGTATATCCGAAATGAGAACATCCAGCGCGACTTAAGAATTCCAGACGCGTGAACCGAAATTGAGCAACGAAGCGCGAAATATGCATTGAAAGTTTTGGTTCATCCAAACCAACTAGCAAGATCGTTATTGCATGTGAACAGGAGCTCAAGATTACGTAGAGTCGTTTCTACCAGCCCAGATGTAACAGTTTTTGGGGCTAGTTAGAAAAGTAATCATCCATGTACGATGTGAATTAAGTGAGTAACTTAATGTTCGCAAACTAATAGTGCGCAAAAGAATGAATGTGTTGAACACAATGCTAGCGACAGACTGCAAACGACATCTCTCAAATATTAAAATACACACGTTCTTACGGCAGCTGCACGACTACACGACTGCAGGCCGACAGTTGTCGTTCTCACTAACTTCAATTTACTTCTATATTTGAAAACGACAGTAGAGTTGACAGTAGAATGGAAGATAGAGAAATGAGGTAGAGTGGTGATGCCACTAATATGTAAAATGTAAAATTATTTACAGCTGTTGGAAATATATATACGTGGCAACACTTCCCATCACTATTTTYCGTTATCCTCATCTCTTTGTATACTAGTTTGTAATCCTTTCTATTACTCACTTCATTTTTAGTTTATCACAATAAATCAAACAAACAGGTTATGGGCTCAGGGCACTGCTGTGTGTCGGCATTCGCGAATTTTGAAATTGTGTGATAGACATGTGCGCACGCGTTGTTGTGTGTTAATATAACGAAAGACTGTGTGTCGGTATTTAAATTCGTAAACGCAAATAATTATACTGTCTGTCGGTGTATTATAGTTTAAAAGAAAATGAGTTCGTTTTTCCAAATCGAAAAATTGGACGATTCMAATTACGCGTCGTGGTCAGTGCAAATGAAAAGTGTTCTTGTACACTCCGATCTGTGGGGCGTTGTGTGTGGCCGTGAGGTCAAATCAGACACTATGACGAYTGCGGAAAAAGAGRCATATGATATTAAAAATGAAAAAGCATTGGCTTCAATTTTACTTTGTGTAAAACCGTCACAAGTGAACCATGTGAAGCATTTGACAAGCGCATTGGTAGCATGGAATAAGTTCCGTGAAATACATCAGCCAAAAGGGCCGGCGCGAAAGATTTTGTTGTTTAAAAAGCTATTACAACTAAATATGTTTGAAGGGACTGCTABTGCAAATCATATAAACGARTTTTGTGGAATTCGCGAGAGTCTCTCTGAAATAGAAGTTGAACTTCCAGAGGAAATATTAGGGATAATTTTATTATCAAGTTTGCCGGCGCGATATGAAAATTTTGTAGTTGCAATGGGACGCATTACCATCATTTAATGTGTTAAAAGTGAAATTACTGGAAGAGGGTGCGCGGCAAAGTGTAATTGAAGAAAAACAAGATAAAAGTACAGAARTGCTAATGCAAGCTAAGACATGCGTATCTAGTAATTTCCAGAACAAAAACAAAGCAAGCGTAGCAAACGGTTYAGGAAACAACAACAAGAACAGTAAAAACGGTAAAAATGCCAAGTGTTTCAATTGTGGTCGGCGTGGACATTTCGCAGCAGCATGTAGACAGCCAAAAAAGAGTGAGTGCAAGCAAGAAAGCAACAGGGTTGAACGGTCTTGYTTTATGATGCATACAAAAACGAATAAMGGCAACGTTTCGGCGACGCATACTTGGTGCGTGGATAGCGGTGCAACTTCGCATTTGTGTTGCGATCGCAGCTTGTTTACAAAATATACGAACGCTAGTGAAAAAATTTGGTTAGCTGGTGGACAGTGTATTGACGCAGTAGGCCGTGGCGACGTTGACGTCGGCGGTACACTGATTACATTGAAAAATGTTTTATATGTACCAGCATTACAATATAACTTTGTGTCTGTGAGCAAAGCAGKAGAAAGCGGGAATACAGTTTCGTTTGAGCGTGATTGCGTCGAAATTAAAAATAACAAAAATTGTGTGTTATTGAAAGCGTTCAAGGACAATGGACTTTTTATATACAAGAGCGATCATAACAAATGTTTAAGCACAGTTACACAAAATGATACAGAAAAAAATGCATTTAAGTGGCATAATCGGTATGGACACGTAAATTTTAATTGTTTAAAGGACATGTCAAGCAACCAATCAGTGTTTGGGTTAAAGATTGGTAAAGTKCCGAATGAAATAGTATGTAAGACATGCGCAAAAGCAAAAATAAATGTGAAACCTTTTCCTCAAGTTTCAGAAAAGCCTGCAAAACAGTTACTTTCTGTAGTGCATAGTGACGTTTGTGGTCCAATAAATTGCAAATCAATTGGTGGTTCACGATATTTTGCTACATTCATTGATGACAAATCGCGATACATGAATGTATATTTTTTAAAAACGAAAGATGCTGTTTTTGAGGCATTTAAAGACTACAAGGCTATGGCAGAAAAGCAAACCGGATGTAAAATTAAAAACTTGAGAAGCGATAACGGTCGCGAATACATATCAACAAACAATCAAAAAAGTTTCGCACTAAAGGTAAGGAGTGCATTATGATCGGTTATTCAGAAATAAGTAAGGGTTATCGTCTGTATGATCAWGAAAGCAGAAAAGTTTTTGTCAGCCGCGATGTCATCTTCATCGAAAAGCCTAATGATACTCAACAGGCAGATACGAAACTCATCGAATTCGACGAAKGTGAACTGCAGGGCATTGTGCTGCCTACAGTGCAGTTAAATAGTAAAAAAAACGTTGGCGAAGAAGCAGATACTCAAGTGATAAACAGCGAAGGTGTAGAAAGTGATCAAAGTGACGACGATACCAATAATGTACCGGATGCAGTAGTGATTGGTCGAGGTAGGCCAAAATTGTTGCGTACTGGCAAAAGAGGACGTCCGCGAAAACAATACAATGAACTCCATTTAATGTGCGAAGAGTCAGTAGAGACACCAAACAGTGTTGCAGAGGCGTTAAATAGCGATCATTCTACTGAATGGAAAGCCGCGATGGAGAAGGAGTATGCAGCACTCGTAAAAAATTACAAGTGGATACTTGCTGATTTCCCACAAGGTCAAAAGGTGGTTGGATGCAAATGGGTATRTACTGTTAAACGTGACAAATTCGGCGACATTAAGCAAATTAAGGCGCGATTGGTAGCCAAGGGTTGCAGTCAGCGATACGGCGTAAATTATTTTGAGACATTTTCTCCAGTCGTCAGATACGCAAATATTCGAAYGGTAATCGCATTGGCGGTTGAACATAATTTGTACTTACACCAAATTGACGTGTCATCAGCATAYCTCAACAGTGAATTGCATGACGAGGTTTATATGCAGCAACCAGAGTGTTTCATCGATAGAAGATATCCAGATCGCGTATTGAAACTAAAGAAGTCTTTATACGGTTTAAAGCARAGCGGTCGTGAATGGAATGCGAAATTAGATTCTGTTCTTCAAGATATGGGATTTAAGCCATGTCCCAGCGAGTCATGCATTTATGTAAGAAATTCGAAAAATGTAAYGAATTTAATTGCAGTGTACGTAGATGATTTAATCATTGCGAGTTCGAATAAGTCTGAACTAATCAAGATCAAAGCCGACATAGCAAGCAAGTTTGACATCGTTGACGGTGGTCAGTTAACGCATTTCTTGGGCATGGAAATAGGGCGTTGCGGTGAAACGGGCAGTATGACGTTGTGTCAAAAGCAGTACATTTTAAGGTTGCTTAAAGAATACAATATGGAAGTTTGTAGAGACGCTACAACTCCATTGGATGCTGGGTTTAAGGTTCATTGCAGTAACGAAATGTGCAAGAAGGTCGATAAARTGCAGTATCAATCAATAGTAGGCGCGCTAWTGTATTTAGCAATATCAACYCGTCCTGACATMATCCATTCAGTTAGCAAATTATCTCAGCGTAATACAGATCCACATATAGAGCATGAAGCTGGAGTAAAGCACTTACTACGGTATTTGAAGAAGACAGTGRACTTTAAATTACACTACGTAAAAACTGGCAAAGATRTTGAGGGCTTTGCAGATGCTGATTGGGGTAGTGATCCAACTAACCGTAAGTCCTATACGGGGTATGCTTTCGTAGCAGCTGGTGGTGTATTCTCTTGGGAATCTAAGAAACAGAGCGTCGTAGCTCTAAGTAGTACAGAAGCCGAGTATATAGCATTATCTGCGGCAGCAAAAGAAGCAGCGTACATAAGCAAACTTCTAAAAGAAATGGGTTTTGGCAAGAGCGGATCTATGGTAATAAATAACGACAATCTGAGTTCCCAAAGTCTGGTGAAGAATCCAATTTATCATGCACGGAGCAARCACATTGACATCAAATTTCATCATATCCGGCAGATGTACATTAACAATGAAATAGATTTAAATTATATTTCAACAAACAATATGATGTCAGATATGTTAACTAAAAATTTACAAAAGTTAAAGCATTTACAATTCTCAAAAGAAATGGGTATATATTAGTAGATATAAGTAAATAATTTTTGTAAAGTGTTGAGAAGGAGTGTTGGAAATATATATACGTGGCAACACTTCCCTTCACTATTTTCCGTTATCCTCATCTCTTTGTATACTAGTTTGTAATCCTTTCCATTACTCACTTCATTTTAGTCTATCACAATAAATCAAACAAACAACAGCTTTAACAAACCTGACGTTATTTTAATAATTAAAGCATAAAAAAGCTCTGATTGAAGTCCAAGGTATTCATCGTCATTTTGTAGCATCAAAAAGTTATGAAGTACTACCGTAGCTAAAACAATTTTGCCTGCATTCTTTGGGTAAGCATGTACTGTTGTATGCAGTACTCTCCATCGATTGACCAAAATTCCGAATGCGTTTTCTATGTGCACTCGTTCTCTAGACAACGCTAAGTTACATTTGTCTTTATCTTCTGGTAAGTGGCGGCCGGGAAATGGTCGCATTATATTTGGTTTCAGTGGAAACGCACTGTCGCCGACGTAATAATACGGAAAGCTGTTCGTCGTACCCAGTAAGTTTGTGTCAGAAGGAACTTCCAGTGTGCCATTCAGCAAATTCTTTCCACCGTCACCTAGTGCACCGATATCAACATATGTGAACACGTAATTAGCATCACTCACTGCCATTAGTACAATGCTAAACGTTTCCTTATAATTGTAGTACAACGATCCGCTATTTCTTTTGCTTTTTATATGAATGTGCTTCCCATCTATAGCTCCCAAGCAATTCGGCATTCCAGTCTTAACATAGAACGTGCTTGCAATATCTCGAAGTTCGTGTGAGCTTGGTGTTGACAAATATGCATCATGCAATTCATCCCAAATAGCGTCACATGTTTCATATATAATTTTTCGGACTGTCGAAACTTCAAGTTTGAAAGACTAAGATAGAACATTGAAATTACATCCTTGTGCCAAAAAACTGAAATTGATAAGCGTTTAAGTATACCAGTGTAATCATTATTTCACATTGACTTACATAAAAGTGACCGAGTCTCAGGCTGAATTGGTTTTTTATATGCAAAACGTGTAAAGTCGTTGCTTTAATAGCGACAACAATAAATTGTAATTAGCAACGCTAATTCTCATAGCTTTACAAAAATGTTCCTCTACCATTTCCTGAAGTTATTTGATGCAAGCTTAGTAGAATCCTTCCTCTTCGCGTGAAATATTGACAGGATGAACCCACCACCTTCGGGAGTTTCTATTGACCTCCTGTAACACTTCATGTAGTGTATTGACAATACGTACAATATTAATAATTGTCCTCAAACATTCCTCGTCTTCCATTATTTTATTGAAAGTAAAAAAGTTCTCAAATTATGCAGAACGACAAAGTAAAAAACAACTAATTATGACACAAAATGGACAGCTGTGTTGTTTTGTGTACATGCCGGCCATTGTTATGTTGCTGCGTTCTCACAAATGTTCATGTAGTCGGATTCACAACGCCATTTTCTGTTCACTGTCGTGCTGCTGCAGTCTGTCGCGAGAATTGTGTTCCGCACATAAGATGAGATTTTGTGGGTGTTTGGTATCATCCAAAATTTTAGTATAGTTCTACTCGACAAGACCCACAAGAAAAATAATATCACTTCCATCACAGACAGTTGTATGTATAGTGTTTTATCATAGTCATTGTGAATGAAAAAAGGATGAACTGGCAATGCTTCTAGTTCAATATACAAGCTATGATAGCTTATGACAAGCCCACATAATTATGTTGGCTAATTCTTCCATACAAAATAAGCTCAAGCTCAATTTGCTGGTGAAATAAAATTTGCTGGTCCCTAAATAAAAGCGGCAGCGGCAACTACCAGTTGTCTACATTTAGAGTTTGAGAAGTACACAGTTCCTCACAGTTGGAAGAGATGAGTGAAATTAAGACTGAAGAGGATGTAGTAGAATAGATCCAGATTTGCAAAATATAATGGATGAAATGGAGTTGACCAAATGAACCACAAGTAAAAAAAATATTGGGCAGAGCGGAACAGTTTTTAAATGTACATATTTTTTATTCAAAAAGATGGAATACGATTTGGAGGCACATTTACTACTACGTTTTCTTTTCCCTCAAATATGTTGCATGCTGTCTTATTCTCGGGCTGTCAAAGTTGCGTGCTCTTTTCTATATTTTCAGTTTCGATTATTCTTTTCTCGAAGTGTGCCTTATAACCAGACATAAGTGCAACATTTTTCACTGTCTCAAAAAAGAGTTCCAGTTACCGTGAATTTTTATTTATGGCTTCTGAACGTTTTAAAGTAATTCAAGTTTTTGCACAAAGTAAAATGATTAGGTCAGTTTTATGAAAATCATTATTGGAAATATCAAATGAGCAGGTCATCATCGTCAGAGTACGAAATGAGGTTATTTAGACGCAGAGGCAAAAGAATTAGTTTTAAACAGAAATACAGATATGCCCAATTTTTCTGTCTGTTTTCTGTTATGCACAAAGATTTGGACTTATAAAATTCAAATGGCCAACAATCTGAACGCTGCAGAGTTGCCGATTCGCTTGGAATTTTGCTAGAAGATGCTTCAAGTGGTGGAAGAGGATGGAAACATGTTGAACTGTCTTTTCATGTCTGACGAGGCCCATTTCGATTTAAATGGCAACATAAACAAACAAAATTGTCGAATATGGAATTGCATCCACTTCGTGTCACAGTGTTGTGTGCAGTTCCATCACGCTTCAAAGAAAACGGTCACACCGTTACGGTTACTGGAGACTGTTATTTGAGCATGTTGGGAGAGGTTTTCTATCCAGAATTACGCCGAATGAGAATTTCTTTCAACTCTGTGTGGTTTCAGCAAGATGGTGCAGCTCCTCACATAGCCCAACCTATTATGACAGAATTGTGACGAAAATTTCCCAATAAGCTGATATCCAGAAACTCCACATTCCGTTGGCCACCCAGGTCGCCTGACCTTACTGCACCTGACTTTTTCTTGTGGGGTTATTGCAAACAGGAAGTCTACAAAGCAAAATCAACAAATTTGAATGAACTAAGGCAATGCATTCGAGAAACAATTGCGGCTATTCCTGTCTCAACTCTCCAAGAAGTAATGAACAAATTTTTGGTAAAATACAGAACATGCATCAACGAGCAGGGGGGGCATTTAAATTCCATTATTTTTAAAACTAATTAAGCTATATTTAAAAAAATTGAATGAGCTTTAAAATGAATAAAGGAAAAATTAATTCCATGCACTGAAAAAAAAATTATTTGAGTTTCTTAATGTAGCAAAATACATCAGCCACCCTGTATGTCAATGTCGTCATATATCCCGTACAGCTCAAATGTTCCATTGAATGCGATATTCGCCGTGGCCAACCCGCAAAGGACCATAAATCAATCGCAGAACTTTTCTCTCGAAAACTCGCAACGTCGACTCATCAGTTATTGTCATCGTCCAAGCCTCTGCACCATATAGCAGGACAGGAATTATGAGTGACTTATAGAGTTTGGTTTTTGTTCGTCAAGGGCGGAGTTTATTTCTCAATTGCCTACTCACTCCAATGTAGCACCCGTTGGCAAGAGTTATCCTGCGTTGGATTTCCACGCTGACATTATTAGTGCTTTTTACACTGTTTCCCAAATATACGAAACAATCGTCGTTCACTGCCAGACCCATTTGCTTTGCTTCCTTGTTTAGTCTGGAGAAAGCAGAACTAACGGTGCGTGTGGAGGCCGATGGTATCAATATCATCGGCATACGCCAGCAGCTGTACACTCTTATAGAAGATTGTACCTTCTCTATTTAGTTCTGCAGTTTCTAATTATTTTCTCCAGAAGCAGGTTGAAGAAATCGCAAGATAGGGAGTCGCCTTGTCTGAAACCTCGTTTTGTATGGAACGGCTCGGAGAGGTCCTTCCCGATTCTGACGGATGTTGCTCAACGTCAGTTTACATAGCCGTATTAGTATTAATTCAGACATCATAAAGGCAGCTCCTTTTCGTGCTGTCGAAAGCAGCTCTGAAATCGACGAAGAGGTGGTGAGTTTCGATTCTCCTTTCATGGGTCGTTTCCAAGATTTGGCGCATGGTGAATATCTGGTCGGTTGTTGATTTTCCAGGTATGAAGCCGCACTGATAAGGTCCAATCAGTTTGTTGACGGTGGGCTTTAATCTGTCACACAATACGCTCGATAGAACCTTATATGCGATGTTGAGCAGGCTTATCCCACGGTAGTTGGCGCAAATTGTGGGGTCTTCTTTATTGAGGATTGGGCATAGCACACTTAAATTCCAATCGTTGGGTATGCTTTCGTCCGACCATATTTTACAAAGAAGATGATGCATTCTCCTTATCAGTTCTTCGCCGCTGTGTTTGAATAGCTCGGTGGGCAATCCATCGGCCCCCGCCGCTTTGTTATTCTTTAGGCGGGTAATTGCTATTCGAACTTCTTCCTGGTCGGACAATGGAACGTCTACTCCATCGTCATCGATTGGGGAATCGGATTCGCCTTCTCAGGCTGGAGAAGTGTTCCCTCCACAATTTAAGTATGCTCCGGGCATCGGTGACTAGATCACCTTTGGGAGTTCTACAAGAGTATGCTCCGGTCTTGAAACCTTCTGTAAGCCGAAGCATTTTTTCGTAGAATTTTCGAGCATTACCCCTTTCGGCCAGCTTGTCAAGTTCTTCGTACTCACGCATTTCGGCCTCTTTCTTTTTCTGCCTGTAAATGCGACTCGCTTGCCTCTTCAACTCTCGGTATCTATCCCATCCCGCACGTGTTGTGGTCGATTGTAACGTTGCAAGGTAGACAGCCTGTTTTCTCTCCGCTGCGACACGGCACTCCTCGTCGTACCAGCTGTTCTTTTGCACTTTCCAAAAACCAATGGTTTCGGTTGCAGCTGTACATAAGGAGTTTGAAATGCCGTCCCACAGTTCCCTTATACCGAGTTGTTGACGAGTGCTCTCAGAGAGCAAGARTGCAAGCCGAGTAGAAAATCGTTCGGCTGTTTGTTGTGATTGCAGCTTCTCGATATCGAACCTTCCTTGTGTTTGAGGGCGTGCGTTTTTTGCTGCACAGAGGCGGGTGCGAATCTTGGCTGCAACAAGGTAGTGGTCTGAGTCGACCTCGGAGCGCACGCACATCTAAAACACTGGAGACGTGTCTTCCGTCTATCACAACGTGATCGATCTGGTTGGTGGTTTTTCGATCCGGAGACAGCCAGTTAGCTTGATGTATCTTCTTATGCTGGAATCTAGTACTACAGACATCAAGGTCCCAAATAAAATATGTAAAACAATAAAAATTAAAGAAAATGCGAAAATTCGATATATTTCATGAAACGTTTTGCAATGTGATGCATAGTAGTTTATTTTCAATTACCAATGATTAAAAACATTTATTAATTGAGAACTAACAGGTTTAATTCACCTTATGAAGTATTGAAAGCTCAAAAGTCAGTGGTTTGAATTTAGCATAAAATCATAAAAAAGGATTTAAGTAGTTTGTCATATATTAAAAGTCCAATACATACTAAATTGCAATCGTAATAAATTTTGGGTGTTTTAATTTAAATGCCCAAAAATCATTATTTGACCGATCTGGCTACAACGGCAAATTATACAAAAAACCGCTTCTTTTGAGGCGCTCTGACACTGGAATAAGTTGGGCATCCCTTAATCCCTGATTTTAAGTGAGAAACTTATTTTAATTGGCTTAGAGTTTGTAAGGTTAAAGTAT